AATAAATATTGGCACCTACATCCCGTTCCCCTAAGAATTTAAACAAATTGGGCATACCGGTGTGTTGGTGCCTAAAAACAATAGTTGCAAAAAATTTTGTTTTAATCTAGCTCAATTCTAACCTATATTTAATTAAACATAACTTGTCTCAACCCTTTTGTCAAACCTTTTATGATTTAATGTTATTCTGGCTTTATTCTGCACATATAGTACACCAATTGAGACCATGCTTAATATAATTATCAACGAATTTATTCCAATACCGAAAATTTGTTTTCTATATATTTTGAAAAATGAAAATTTAACCACAAATTCTGATCCATTAAATAGTTAACATGAATAATTAACAATATATTTAACTGTACTTGATTTGTTTAGCAGTCAAAAATACTACTAATAAAGGTGAAATTAGGAAAAGTTGCCATTCGACTCGTGATGACCATGTTACTCCAATACACTACGTATAAATAATAGACAGATATGCGCATTAATAACTATAAGATCAAAATAAAACAATTAATTATACCGTGCGCATTCCATCAAACGGCTTCAAATTGAGCATGGTGGCCCACCAATTGTGATGACAAGTTCCAGAGTTAATATTGATATACTGGTGCCACACGGGCCCCGACCCCAACACCTCTAAAAGGATGGTAAAGGCAATGACAGCGCCGACGGAAGGCATTAGGCGTACGAATCGGCGAACGATTTTGCGGATCGAAAACAAATAATTTACGGCTGAAGTGCTACCCGTCCCATGCGAATGGCGGCCTACCTGTCCATTTGCTTGAAGCAAACCACTTATCATAAAATAGGTGGCCATAGATTGCATGGGAAATGCTACTATAATATCACTTAGTATCCTAAATTTGTCCATTACTTGCAAACTATTTGCTATTATTATAAAAGGATTTAAAAATAATGCACATTGGTAAAAATACATTTTGAAATATTGTGTATTAGAGTATTGAATCTCAAAGTCTTACTTAAGTTGAAAATTGACGATTTGAAAGTTGAAATCTCTTATTAACCGCAAATAGAGTGACAAACAGTGAGTCTCATTGTGTCCGTTCATTGTCATCACATCATACAGTATAAGGAAATTAACGGTCAAAAGATGCTCACTGTTTGACACTATGTTTGCAAACGAATAAGAGTCACACATTTCATGTAACTTATTATATGTTACATTGAGATTCACTGAATCAAAGATTGCTATTTATTTAAGACATAAGACAGGGATATCTCTAAATACAAATATATCAATAGTATTAAGAGTTATATTATAAACCTTATTTAGTTAACTATACTATTCATAATGACTCATAAAGTTATTCATATATTTGTAGTTAAAGATAGCCCTGTCTTACAGAAAGCCTATCTATCATACTGTATGCTACCGTAGTCGTTGATTTGACCTACAATACCTATAATGTTAAATTCCTAACCAATTTATAACGGTTCCGACCATCATATCATTGCATGTGGTATATCGATGGAATCAGCTCAATGAGTAGAGTAAGAAATTATCTTCTTTAGTTGAATTAGATAGAATTATCTTCTTTGACCATGGAGGAATATTAGCTGATCCAGATTAAGAAGATAATTTCTTAACCTATTCATTGAGCTGATTCCAACCATATATCACATGCAATGATTTGATGGTCGGAACCATTAATATTTTAGTGTTTTAGGTATTGTAGGTCAAATCATAGACAACCGTATGTTACTAATCAATTACCGTTATAATTTAGATTTCGAGCAGTGACCCTGAACACTATGTAATGAACTGACATTACATATAACGATAATAGGGTTCGTATTCCCGTTAAACACGACAGCCATTGATCCCGATGTGTGTCCACTCGAAACAGATTACAAGTGTTTTTAGTGACGGAAAAGTTTTCCGCAAAGTTTCGCAACAATTGTACCATTTCTATGGGATTTTGAATTATTTTAGTTAATATTTATTTTAGTTTAGAGTTTGAAAATACCATTGTTAATTTTAGTTGTTGAATATAATTTACTCGAGATTGATCCCAAAATAGCCAGTGTAATTATGAATGTAAAACAGCAACTTCTCAGTTTCATTTGCAAAGAATTTAAATATAATAATAAAAGAATTTGTTAAATATCAAATTACTAAATAACTTGTAATATTTTAAGCTGGATATTTATTGTCTATTATACTTATACTGTAATAACAAATACAAACCCAATGATGATATGCAACCATTGAATCGGATTATCATTTCTGTGAACGCATTGCTCTAATCGTGCGCTCAATAAGTGTTTCGATGAATCTATTGAGAAGAATCAAACATTTATG